TCAGCATGGTAACTGGCCCGCAGAGGTTTCAAAATATGCAATCACAATCCATGTCTTACGTTCTGTCAGTTAGATATTATATTGAGTTAAAAGTTTAAGAAGAGACGATGAGATGGTAAAGTGTCGACTGTGCTCTTTGTGTTACCAACTGAGGTCACAGGAAGAGTTTGAAAGATTTTTTTTTTGTAAAAGATATTGTATCTGGCCACTAAAGTAGACGTGATACCTAAAGTTTTGAAAGAAACCTACTTTCGCTTGATTTCACAAATTTGTTTAATAAAATGAAGCCCCGAAGGTCTTCCACGCAAACTCTTTCTCTCAAAAACGTCTCAATGCCAACTCTTCAGATGTCGACGTCGTTCACTTCGCTGCACTATATAGCAAGATGGGGAATGATGAGTGACTTGTAGTGTAATGGTCTTTATTCTTAGAGAGAGGATTTAACTTTCCAATTGTTTCCTCTGTCTAAAGTAGCGCCTCTTGGAAAGCGTTATTCTGAGTTAGATTTCGACACTTTTTCTGTGTTGATGGTGGTTCTCAGATAGAAAAAATAATCTAAAAATTGAAACAGTGACGTGGGGGCGAAATGGGAGTTCCCTGACTATTCGTTTGATAACAGCAGATATTTCGTTTTACCCACGTTCACTGCCAGGCCAATATAATTTTTTGTCATACCAAATACAGGTATAACGGCTTAGAGGTCTTTTACGTGATATCGTAGGCACGAAGAGGTGGTGTGTGTAGATCCTTCTCTCACGAATGTTTTCCAAGATTTTGCGCATGATGGATATCTGGTTTATTATAGATTTGCCATGTCTGAAGCCACATTGATGAGGCTCTGCAGTTCTTTTATGATGGACTTTAATCTTTTACGCAGTACGCTCGATAAGAAGACCTTATACAATATTCGATATTTAGGAGGCTTATTCCACGATCGCGCACTGCGTATCGTACAACATCCGAATGAGTCCATCCGCCATTGCTCGCAACAATTGACGCTATGCCTACCCACTTCAAGGAAGATTTTGCGGAAGGGTTTTGGTTTGTAGGGTTACAAAATTCAACTCGTGCCTGAATTGAAACCGAACGATCTGCATGGCCACCGAGCCAGATTTTCACCTCGAAATTTGGTTCATCGATGAAGTTCACGTTAATAAATGAAATTGTCGCATTTGGAGCGATGGTAGTTCACAAGCCATTATTGAGACACCGTTATATACTTAAAAAAACACTGTCTGTGTTGAGCAGAAGGAATCATTGATCTATATTTCTTCAAAAATTAAGCCGAAGAAAACTTAAATCCGAGAAGATGAACGCCTTGGTAGAGACTGAAATCATTTTTAAGACATATTCCCAAGCCACTATATTTATAAAAATGCCAATTCTTCGCAATAACAGTAAATTATATGCGTTTTATTTCTTATCGAAAACCACATTTCTTGGAAAAAAAACACCCTGTACATAATACATATGAAAATTTTGAAAACAGACAAGCGCTCCGCAGCTAACCCTCTAACGCCGATACCTATTATGTTTTTCAAATATTTTCACTTGAATTCAAGCAATTTTCCAGTTCGCATTCATACAAATTTAATAAATTTACACATTATTAAGTACCTACATATAACTTATAGTTTGATATTTAATATAATATGTACATATGTATGTTTAACTAACGTCTAATACTAAGATTCGATTTTTTCTACATTTACGACTTTTAATTGCAATCAAACCAATTGATACTGGCCAGACGCCCGCTCGCTAAGCAACAACGCAGACGTCTACACTACCCCAAGCGAAAAATCCGCGGCTATACTTTTTCGTACATACAGTTCATAAGTATGTATGTCGGTATGAACATACAAGTATAAATAAATACACACTTCTGTATGTCGGAATGTGCACTCTCCACCACTCAATTCGCGATAAACCAATGTGTGGCTTTATCGCTTTTCTGCGTCCATATATACATACATACATACATAATGACGTGTCATAATAAGGAAATGTCTACTATATAATAATAAGCAAAAGAAATGGCAATCGTAGTGTTTCACTAGAACTCGTTAAAAAAAAATTAGAAAAATAAAACTAATACCCAAATACACCCCTACGTACATTTGTATGTACGAGTATGTTTGTGCTTATGTATCTTCATGAAAAGCTGGAAAACAATTTTTACTCACATTCTTGCACAATTAACAATCACTTCCTTGCATTTGCATTTATATACATATGTATGTACATATGTATGTTTATATAAATTTCCCACACATGCGTACATACATACATATAAACACTATTTACATATTTTTCCCAGCCCCGCACTTTCAATCACTTTTACTGGCGCGGCTATTCTTTAGCTATTCTTTAAGGCATTTTGACAATCAATTGCATATTTTCCACTGACAGCAATAACAACAGCCGCAGCAGCACAAAACCAACGGAAGTATTTAACGAATATGTACGAGTATTTCTGCGGCAGCGACTGCGACGGAAAGGAAAGTAAAAAAAAAGCACAAACTATTTATATATGTACTATATGGATTTAAATTCGCGTGCCCTTGAATATATAACACAACAACAACAATAAGCACATAAAATACTTTAACGTTCTTTATTGAGCATATAAAATGCAGAAATCCAAAAATCCAAAAATCCGAAAACCCGAAAATTATCAACCGACAATCTGCCGTGTGTACGCACGTCTTTATCGCTTGGCAGAATATTGCAAACTCTCCAGCAAAAATGCCGCAGTAGTCGCCTTCGTCGTCGTCGTCGTCATTGTCGTCGTCATTCATCTACATGCATATTTATCTCTCGACATATGTTGGTTGTTGTTTTCTTTTTTTTATTGTTGTTACTGTTTCCCAAAAGGTAAGCAGTCTAGAGCCTATACAGAAGAAAGCACTGATAATTGCATAGTCACACACGCATGGAATGCGAGCGAAACGATTCAAAAGGTACGAACAGTAGACGGCCTCGATTGAAAGTCTCCGCGGGTGGACACGAGCAGCTACTGGCTACTGGTCTTGTTGCTGTTATTACGTTAACGCTACAACAGTAAACAAGCTCAGCTGTTTTGTGGGGTTGACAGCTGTCAGAGGGCGCGTTTTTGGAGAATTCTTTTCCTTGTGCGGTCTGTGTAGAAAAGAGTTTGTGTACGCAATGCGCATGCATCAAGGGATGGTGGTAGTTGAGAGAGCACAAACTTGTAGGTACGTATGTACATATGTGAGTTACTTTCTTTATTTTCTTTTAGTGGCAAAATTAACTTTTCCATTATACTGAGCAAAAAAGAAAAGAAAAAGAGAAATTTAGAGTGTGCTCTTCTAGTTCACGTAACAGACAGATGTATTTTCTGCTCCTTAAAGTAGGTTCTAAAGAAAGCATCATACTTAAGAAAAGCTTTATAAGACTGTTTCAGAAGTTAAGTGCCTCAGACTGAACTCCAACATGCTTAAAGTACATGTAACATATGTATGTGCATATACTCTGCGTGCAGTTAGTCCCCACACAACACTAACCAACCCCCAACTCTTTACATGCCCACCAAAACCCACTCATCTAACAGTTCACCTCTTTTGTTTCAAGCCCTTTGAAATAGCTCGTTTTCCGGGCCGGTATGCGTGTTAATGTTCTTCCAACAAATGGAGGAACCTACAGTTTATACTAAGCGCCTCCGAAAGACAAATGGATTCTTATGAGGAGATAGAATTTTCATGAAGGAAATGTACTCGGTAGGCCTGCCGAGATACGAACGCAACCAGAAAAATTAATTTTCTCGAATCATGACCTTAGCGGTGTTAACGAGCTGACACAACAACAACTATTCGAGGAGTCGCAGCACTGATCAAGCCGAAAAATTCCATTTCAGCAAATAATTTATTTAATAAAATTAAATTAAATTTATTATTTTTTAAACGAAATTCGAACTCATTAGAAACATTATTGTATGAAACAAAAAAAATTTAATGAAAGTAGAATACTTTCTATGGAATGAAAATATTATCGCTTAAAAAAAAATTCTTTTGAAAATATGCATTGAATTTTTTCCTCAAATTTTTTTGTTCAATTTTTTTTTAATGTTTCACAATTTAAATTTAAATATAAAAACATATTCACGATTTTTTTAATTCCCTTTTCGCCAACTAAGGCGTGAATCTTTTCATTACTAAAAGAAAAAATTACTAAAAAAGGAAATAAAGAAATAAAAATAAAAAACGCGCAAAAATAAAAAACGAATATATCAAAACGCCTAATATTCGCCAATAATCTGCTTAATTAATTAAACTTATATTTCATCTTTGACAACAACAACAACAACAACAACGACGACGACGACGTGAAGTGAGTTCATTTAACAGCTTGTTTGTTAAAATCGTCACTTTTTGGTTGATATTGTCACACTACCGGAAACAATACATATGTACATACAATACAAACAAACAAAGTACAACCTCTAAAAATCAACCACTACAGCTTGATCGAGTTCTTGGCATATGCCTTCATAATTTTTTGCTTATTAAGTCACACAATTCCTAAAATTTGAAGTACTACGAAAGCACACATATGTACATACGTATTGTATATAAAGCAAACTAAAAACTAGAAACTCTTAGCAAGTCTTATAAAAACTGAATAAAAAGCGATAAGCAACGACAATGACATACTAACAGAAAATATGATTAATTTTTGAACGCCGCACAATGCTTCTAATCGTTCCTTTTTAATTTTTTGCTCTGCAAATTGCTGTATTGCTTACTATTATTGTACTTATTCACTCGTTTTTTTTTTTCAATAAGCAAAGCACACAGTAATGAAAAAAATCCTCCTCCAACTGTTGATAAGAAATGCTAGCAAATTAAAAGATCGCACGAATGAACGAGTTATTGTTGGCACCTACTACACTACACGCGTAACACCCACACAGGCATGTGTACATGCACATGCATACGTACAAACACATCATCATTATTGCATTCTTTGTTTTGACAAACCTTTTCTTCTACTCCGTTTCCTTTCCTTTATCACATACACAGGCCTACTGTTATGCCTGCTAATATGTGTGTATGTGCGTGTGTTTTAGCGCAAATGCCATTGCTGTGTTGAAGAATACTTTCCGGTTCCGCAAAATTGTTTGATTTAATAAAATAACTTGTTTTTTTCTTTCCTTTAAGAAATTAATAGTTAAGTGTAATAAATAAATATTTCATTTTCATTCAAACATAATTCACATACAAAACACTTCTAAATTTGTGGTTATTTCATGAACTTTATGGCGTATCATTTGTCCACAGCTCACAGAGAAACATTACAACTTTAAAAATTCCACTCTTTTCGTAATTATCAATGAAGTTTTATATGAAATTCATAAAACGTTTTGAAATTAATTTTTTATAACTTCAAACACTTGTTGAATACGGGTATATACAACAAAATAATACGGCAGGCGCAAACGTAAATGCAAAACACCGCAAACGGAGACGAGTAGACGGAAACCTCGCGACGCACTATCACGTTTAACAATCGCGACGACGAGCGCATTTGTTATATTCAAACGCAAATTCAAAGATCAACTTGTAGCCGCGTCGCTGCTGCGGTACGACTTGGCAGACGACAGTGTTGCAAGCGAGTATTAAAATCACCGTAGTGAATTTGTTGAGGGAAATACTAAATAAATTTATATAAAGGGAATTTTTTTTTAAATTCTTTAAAAGTTGCTAACGTGCATTTTACATGCACAATAATTGATGAAAATTATAAAAATATTTGTTGTTCGAGCATTATTTAAACCAGTTATTTTATTTCACAAAGAGAATTTGTTCGCGAGTGGCAGCGCAGTTCGTTGCTTATTTACAAATGGTTACAGCTAACCGCGTTTAGATTTCGTTAATAAATTTTAGTAAATTTTATATAAACCATTACGTTTTTATATAATTTTACTCACACCTTAACTGTTCTGAGTAAATGCATACCGATTTTGATTAAATTTATTCACTACATGATGCCAACAAAAGGGGACTTTCGACAGCTACATAAACTGATAAAAAGCGATTCATCGATATATCTATCGATTTACGATAGGGTGCATAAGCCAGAAACGCGTATTGATGAGAAGGACGAGAAAGATTTTATTAAGATTTATCATCTTATTTTGAAAAATATATTTTCGTTTACTTTGATAATTTATTTCATACATATGTTATCATAATTTAACACACAACAATGTTAATTAAAATACATAGGCTTACTTTTTTTGAGAAAGTTTAATATTGTTTTGCTCAGTAATGTTGACCAACAGAGCCAATTCCGTTAATTTCTAGCGTGAGTGGTGCAACATTCTCTTATTTTTTTAAACGTTTCTGGAAGTTCAAACTCCTGTCCGTAATTGGTACTTTCCGATGTTCTAAGTACCGGGATTAAGGGTACAAAATAGAGCAAAATTAAGTAGTTTTCTTCAGATAGAGATTAGAATATAATAATAATAATTTTGCTTGCCACACAGATATTAACTTTTTTTTAACAATATTTAAAATACATTTAGCACATACATAGATTACTAGTGGAGCAAGAGACATGTAAATATATTAAAATATTTAACACAAATTTACGTTATTCATTTAAAATCAAATATGTCTTTTTAATATAAAAATGTAGAAGAGTCAAAAAGTATAGTACGTGACATTGGGTTGTAGAAAGGGGGCCTAATAAAAGACTACATTAAACTTCATGTAAGGATGGAGAGGCCGCTAAAATAGTTATGAAATGACCATGTGATTTATGGACACTCTCTAAAGTTGTGCTTTTCTTCGAAAAGAGTTATTTATTATAAACTAGAATGGAGCTTTTAGATGGATTACGAGACTTTTGTCTTGACACGTGTTAAACAGACAGAATATTTTTAGACATATTATCCCAATCAAAAAGCTTTTGAAAAAAAATAAGAAAAAGTGTTCCACTAATTAACTCAGGCAAAGAGCTACCTATGAACAAATTTGATGTACATGGAACGATTTAAATATAAATTTAATTTTTCGAATAGAGCGGTACCCGATTTACCCTCCTAGATGCCTAGGTCGTACGCAGAAGACATCCCCAAAGTCTTAAGTCCTTACGACCAGTAACTTAGGCTGTCGCTGGATCCGTCAGTCATACAGAACAAAGCCTTATATATAAATACATCCCAAATCCGGTCATGGATTTGATTCTTGGACAGACCGACATCGTGACATGATGAAAACTTATATAAGGTTACTTTGGAAATCAAAAACTTCAGATCAAAGAACTGAATTTCGTGTAGCTCGAAATATTTCACGCAATTCTTTTACTCTTTAATAGTCTAACTCGCCCTTGGCTGAGTTAAAATCCAAAAATTTTAACCACTTTTACTACATGAAGATCTATCGATAATTAAGTTCAATGCAGTCGATCGAGTTTTGACCATAATGGCAGCTTCGTCATTCATAGTTTGAGAGCTACTGTGTGCGGGTCATTTTCATTAACACCCTGTTTTAGGTTTACACATTTATTAGAAATCCACGGAAACGCAACTATTCAAAGCAGACCAAAATTTTGTAAAACCAATAACCAATTGGATTTTGATTTGGGTTAAATTAGGAAAGTAACAAAAATTGAAAATGTCTTTCGAAGAAGTAAGTAGTTTGTTATAACAATGTCCTACAGAGTTTGAAATAATTTGTCCCCACAGTTACTACAAGACGCAGGAGAGCTGAGCAAATTTCTCGGCGAGGCAACGCGTCCAAGAGTAAGAAACATTTTATTGCAAGCAAAAGCCGAAGTAGAAAAGGAAATTGTTAATTTAGAAATGAAATCGCGCATAGCTGCGGAAAAGAAAGCAAATGCGACATCAACGAAAAGGTAAATAGAGCAAACAGGAAGTTGCTTGGTAAAATTCTAGAACCATCTACGCGCCATACGTAGAACATTGTACATCGTTCTAAATAATAAGCTTTATTTAACTTATTTACTCATCTTCACCCACAGGTATTTAGTGGAATTGAATGAATACGCTTGGGATCAAAGTGACAAATTCGTAAAGTTGTTTGTTACATTGGAAGGTGTCCAAAACATTGACGAATCAAATGTTGTCGTCACTTTCAATGAAAATTCAGTCGTCTTGCACGTGAGCGATCTCAATGGCAAAGATTATGGTTTGACTATAAACAATTTACTCGATAGCATTAATGTTGAGAAGAGTTATCGCAAAGTGAAGAATGATATGGTCGCCATTTATATGAAGAAAAATACAGAGGCTAAGCATTGGGATCATTTAACCACCATACAAAAGCGGCTAAAGCAAAAAATGGATGATGAGCTTAAAAACGAAGACTCATCACCCGAAAATGCGCTCGTAAATATTATGAAAAAAATGTATAACAGTGGTGATTCGAAAACAAAGCAAATGATTGCCAAGGCGTGGACTGAAGGGCAACAAAAAGCACATCTTGGACAACCGGACGAGATGTAAAACTGGAAAAGTTCAAATTACAATATGTGCAGAAATATACATAGTTTCTTCTTTGTTTATTTAACAAGCACTTTAGAATTATAACGAATAACAAACAATACATTCTATAATGCGATATTTTGTAGATCTAAACATAAAATATAGATATTTATTTTTTGTATTATTCTAAGAGGAAATAGAAACAACTGTGTATTCCAAATAAATAAGAAGTCATTTAAAGACAAAGAATGTGGTTCGTTATTTACTAAAAATGGGTTGTAGTGCTGCACAAAAAGGACGTTTTTTAAGTTTTTGATGAAAAGTGAAGTGACAATAGTTGTATTTAAGCAACTCTTTCAAAATTTACGGAAATAAAACACACAAAATTCCAATACAAGGAAACATTTTCAATATATGTTTATTTTATATGCATTTATGTATGTATGTATGGAATGTTAATAACAATATATGTTTATTCAACGTTGTTGTATCCTTAACAAAATACAAATCTATTTTTATTAAAATAATTTTCATTTATATTTTTGCTACTATTGTTGGTGCATTTGTTGTATGTATTTAATTGCCTTTTTGCTCGCTTTTCTGCTTGCCCAAAAAACAAAGCAACTTACTTGTATATATGTACATATGTATGTAAGTAAAACCTATAAGTGCAACTTTTCTGATCTCCTTCATTAAAACCGTACAATCAATCAGGCACAACACTTTATTGGTAAAAATGTTTTAGGTATATTGTTCATTATGGATGTCTGTAAGTATGTCTACTCGTATGTGTGTGTTTTTTTTTGCAATATTCATGGTAAATATTTATCATCTAATGCTCATTCTAAATATTTTTGAACAAATACATATGTATATACATAAATAATGGTGCAGCTGCTTAACTCTGTGCAAGTTTTGTATGTAGGTATGTATAATAGGTAAATATTTACTTATTTTATATAATACTTATAATAGTAAATGATTTCTTCGCCTACATATGTATGTATGTCTGTTTTTTTTGCATTTCATTGCTACATCTTGGCTTATATATTTATACATAGCATTCTTCATACATATGTACGTGTTGTCTGTTGTTCATTAAACATAAAAAATGAGTAAGTTTGCTAAATACTTGTAATTACACTATTTTCATAAAATAAATATCAGTGCTTATGTTTGTTAAACATTAAAAAAAACACATTAGTTATGAGCAAAATGTTCGAGTGTTTTTTTTATTTTAATTTTAATTTTTTTTTTTTTTTTGGAAGAGTGTCCCTATTGCGTTCAAAAGGGGTATAAAAAGCCTTCTCTTAAATTTTGTTTTAAAAAATAATAAAAAAACGGAAACATTTTTTTTATAACTTACAAATTGGTCAGATAATCTTCTTAATGCTCTCACTCTGGAATGACTAAATGTAGATTAAAACTTAGAAAAGATTTTTGATGGATTTCCTTCATAAATTACGGCTGGCTTTTGATTGAAATTCATATTATTCCTAATTGAAAACTTGCAAATTTAGCACAAATAATACACATAAGTTAGCAAATAAATTTAATATATTTTTTAAAGAAACTATATTTAAATAGCTAACCATAACGGTATATAAGGACACTCCCAATTATTAGTGTTAACGTATTTTTCATTAAATTTTACAAATATTTTGTGAAAAAGTAAAAAAAAAATTAATTAAATAAATTAAACATGAAGGCTGAATTTTTGAGTTTTAATTGAGTTCATCCATATGCGAAATTACGAAAAAAAAGTTCTAAAATCTACAAAATATGGAGTTATATGTACTAAAATATATCATTTCGCACTATTTGCTGTTTAATATTTTCACTTTCAACCAGTTACGGTCATTTTTGTTTGTGTTCCATATGTTATTGTGTAATATGTCTGTGTGTATCAGTTACATTTTTCTTAGCGCGTTGCTATGTATGTATTTATGCATTTAGATATATTTTTCGTTAAACAATTAATGCTTAATACTAATATATAAGCCTTTATACTCTTAGTGTGTGTTTAATACACTTGCATAACTAATACTTTATTAATTCACTTGATGTACGTCTACTCGTAGATATAATATATAGATTATAAGCTTTGATTGCAACTATACTGTTATTTTATATTTTCAACATTGTTTTGCTCTACAAATTGGGCATTTATGTATGTATCTTGGAGTATATTTATATGTTCTATTGTATACATACAAACATTTTTTAAGTGTATTTTTTCATTAATTGCACTTTAAGGCTTATTTCTCACTGATAAATATTTTGCAGTTATACATGTTTACGCTTTTACTACATACTTACAGATGAATATATATTATATATTTGCTCTGAAATTGTTGAACAAAAATTATATTTTCGTTAGATTTGTAAATTTAAAATTTATTGACAATTTGTAATGTGAATCGCGGTTAAAAATGTGTATCTTTAAAACTTAAAAATAAAAAAAATAATAAATATTTCTTTAAAATATAATACATTCAATACCTTAGGTAATTTAATTTGTTCATAGCAGCCAAATTTTAAAATTAAATTTATCTCTTTGGAAGCCTCGAAAGTAGCGCAATTTATTTTGAAAAGAAACTGAACTAATTTTTGTTATGAATTTTTAAGAATTCTGATTCGTGGAATAGTCAGCTATATGGCTAATTTTATTGGCACTTTGCACTGTTGACTCGAATTCAAAAATCTCTTTTTATGTTACTATTTTTTGCATTGATTTTTTTTTAGCTTTTTTGTAGCTTATTGTAAGGTTATGTAAAGTGTAACTGTAACTTAAAAATCGGACGGATATCTGTAAATACGTTTATATGTATTTATTTATATACATAACTTTAGCACAGTTCTATATATGTATGTAAATAAAAAAAAGGAACTCATTTAGAATCTTTCAGTGCGTTAATAAGAAAAATATATGAATTGTCTTTTGCTTGGAACGAAAATTAGCAAAATTCAACTACTTTTTATACTTTTATGTTTTTATGTATATGTGTATGTATATTAAAACAAATGTTAATTTAATTTTCAAAATATTAAGACCAAAATTATGAAATTCAGAATTTTCGACTTATTAATTGAGCAGTGAAAATAATTTAAATACGTCATATTTACGTAAATATTTAGATGAATTCAAAAAAAAAAAATATTTAGGTTTTTTTTTGCTGTAAGAACAAACAAAATTTACTATTAAAGTCAGGAATGCTTTTTTAAATTATTTTCTATTCCATATCGCGTAAAATAATATTTTGATTGATTTTTCATTAATTGAATGCTCGTTATTGAAAAAAAATTCCATAAACACATACATTGCACTTAAAAATAAATAAAATGGACTGTAAAATAATTACTTTCATCTAATAAAGTAGTATGTATGTACCTTTGTATATTAATAGCCATTACATGCTAGAGTCTTCTAATGTCTTAATGTTTTTTTTTTTTGATCAAGCTAGTCTTTCGTGTGCTTTCTTAGTATTTTCATTTGAAATTATAATTACTAAACAATTTTACTTCTCTTCTGTTTTCTTCTCATGTTTAACATAAAATAAATACAAATTTAGCTGCTTCTATGCGCAAATAACACTTTCTTTGTGCAATTTAAAAGTGTTTAATATATGTACGTTAGTTTATATTACATATATTTATAAAAATGGAAGCAGCCTGCTGTCTTTTTGCGCCATTTAATGGCCTGCATTTTTTTGTTTTTCTTTTTTTTCAAGTTTAATACTTGTTAAATGATTACTTTCATTGTGGATATGCATGCTAAATGTGTGTAAAGAAATTATGTAATTGGAATGCTTTAGCCATTGGGAGTTTGTTCTTTGATTTATACTTTACATAGAGTAATGACTTATTTTAATTTGAATTTCAATTTTTGTTTTCTTTTAAACATCCCTGCAAATACTGTATATTTACTTGTTGCATAGGCATTTTAATACATTTTATACTTTTTCGTTTTCACTTTAAGATTTTATACTAAAAATACTTGTATTTTCTAAAACTAAAAGTGTAATTGTGTCATCTCCATTATCGACACTTACTTAGCATTTGTATACTTTCTTCTTACGTTTGCATAATGCTTAATATAAATTTCCATTATTTTCATACTATACGTATGTATGTATGTTTGCATGTCTCTACATTTTACGTTTTTGTTTTTTTTCTTTTTTATGCGCAAATAACTTTATATATTATTCGCAACTTTGTTCTTCAATTAACGTTAATTTTCCACACGCTAGTTTCCCGCCCAACAGTACTTTCCCCTATTTTACTTTGTCCATTGTTTTGCACCGTCTTCTACTTTATCGCGTAAAGGCACTAAGAAAATGTGCGCCACCCATATCGAATTGCTGATCGTAGCTGCCGCCGGGGCCACCGCCGCCCTCATCAACAGAGTTTGGCGCACCGTGCACCAAATTGCTGGCTATGGCACTCGCCGCTTTTATATCAACCATCATAGGTGGCTTATCGCCTGGTTTCCACCTGCGATGTATGCCCATCGATTTGAGTTTTTGACAGACGGATGATGGCGATATGGGAAATCCTTTCTCGGCTAGGCGCGCAGACACCTTCCAATACTGTATGTTGCTGTCCTCGCGTATCAGTTCGAGTATCTCACGTGTTATCTCTTTGTCACGTTGCTCTCGCTCGGCTGCTTTTAGGCGCCGTCGTGGATGCACAAACTTTACAGCGCCCGGTGCTGAGGATGTGATGGACGTGGTGCTGGTGGCAGCGGGTTTTTCATAGTGTGGTGGTGGCGATGTTGATGCTTGTGATGTGGCATAGTGATGTCCGTCTAATAATTGTTTTTGCTGCGCCTCTTGTTGTGCTTGTTGCAGCAGTTGTTGTTGTTGCTCTTGTAATTGTTGCTGCTGCTGCTGCTGTTGATGTTGTTGTGCTTTTAACTGTTGCTGTCGCTGTATTAGACGCAGCCGCTCTTGTTGTTGTTGCTGTTGCAAGCGTTTTTGTTGTTGCTGTTGCTGCTGCAATTGTAATTGTTCCTGATGATACTGCTCCTGCTGCAGTTGTTGTTGTAATAGCAACTGATGCGCCAACTGTGCCTCTACACTGTCCGCTGCGGTATTTGAAACCGCAACCGTTTCGCTAGATACACTTGAGCCATTCGAGACACTGCGTGTATCACGCTTATTACGGTATGATAACGGTAATCCTTTAACAATGGCATCACGTAATTTCCAAGCCGTCATCTGTGAAACATTAAGTGCGCGCGCAATCTCCATGGTGGACGCGTTCTGCGCGACGAGCGTCTTAGCCATTTCGTACCGCTCTTCGTTTATGAAAACATTGGGCTTACGCGGCTTCTTGGTCTGCCCCGTAATGGCGCCGGGCTTCTGTGTTTCACTATTTAGGTAAGTTCAAAAAGGATTTGCGTTAGGTTTAGGTGTGGGGACATACACATGGAAACGGTTAAAAAATTTTGTACTTACTTGCTTTCCGATTCCTGAATATGGGCGCCTTGCATGGTGCGTATTGATAGGTTCACTGGGAGTTGATGCCTAAAATGAGGAAAGATAAATTGGTTAATGAAAAGAAATTTCAACGTTTTATGTAATAAAACCAAGCTGACTAACTGCGATACTTAACGGACTGTTATGAACCTTACTAAGTCGTTATACTTACAAAGCAGCGACTGCAGGGCCAGCGGACGGGAACTGATTAATTACGGGCTGGGCTACCCCTTCTTTACTATGATTCAACATTGGTTGGCGAAGACTATTCGAATCTTTCTGATTTATATGCGCTGTTGCCTCATCGCCATGTTGAAGGGAGGGGGCTGAAAGTGCTGGATTTGTTGAAACAGAGTTGCGTTGTTGTTGCTGTAATTGCAACTGATACTTTTGTTCTAGTTCCCGTTGTTGTTGCATGTGTAGTTTTTGTGCTTGCAATTGTTCCGCCTTTTTGGCACTATCAACTTTTTCCACGGAATTATCAGTCTCTTCGCCATCATCATCGTCATCGTCATCCTCGCCATTAGCATTGTTAGCATTTTCATTATCTTCATCCTCATCATCGTCGTCATCGTCATCGTCATCATCCGAGTCTGAATCGGAGTCTGAGTCGGAATCCGAATCTTCCTCATCCTCTTCCTCAGCACTGTTGGCTACTTTTGCTGGCTGTTGTTGATGCTGTTGTTCTTGCTGTTGATGTTCTTGTTCTTGTTGTTGTTGTTGTTGTTGTTGTTGCAATTGTAACATTTGTTGCTCCATCAGTTTGGTAGTCATTGCTGACTCTTCAGCTTCAGCTTGCAATTGTTGTTGCCTCTCCGCTTGCAAGGCTCTGTTGTGTTCTTCCCTAATTTCCGCCCGCTCAGCTTCCTCTGCCTCATTTTGTTGTTTACATGCCAACGCCTCGCCACTCTCATCCGCCTCGGAGTCCTCATTCGTCTCGACCTGCTCCTGTTTAACCAAACGCTCTTGTATCGGTAGTGGAAAATGATTGGCCGGTATCGCAATGGGGTATAATCTTGGTAGATGTTCAGTGCTATCTGCCACCATCGGCTGAGCCGCTGTATCATCGCACTCCTCGCCGTTGTTGTCAATGACGCGCTCATGCAGACTGACACCGTTCACAAGACTCTTGCGCAAGCGCCAAGCAAATGTTCGGGATATATTCAGCTCGTTGGCTATAACGGTAGTGGTGGCTTCCCGCAGAATTAGCTGCTTTGCCAAGGCTATTTTCTTCGAATCCAACTTGATGCGGGTGCGGCCTTTGCGTTTGTTATTGGCCATGTGAAGTCTAGATGAAGGAATGAAGGATTAAACTAAAAATGTTATAAATTGTTTTTGTTTTTGCATAAGATATCTCACTTTCTGTTATGCAGATAAAGCGCATTCTCCGGCTTTCGTATACCAACACGTTTTGGGAAATTATTGTATTCCACAATGTTCTGCTTCAGAAGCTGCTGCAAGGGCCTGTAAGTACAAAATTTAAATTTTATTTCATTTTTTTTTGGTACAGCAACTCGTCTTACATTTTAGCCGCCTTCGATGGGCAACCCGTGCGCTTATGCCAGCCCAAATGATGTCCAGTGGGGAAGAGCACATGGCAATCGGAGCACTGCATCGGTCGTCTGGAGTCGAGCAAATAAAAATTAATGTCATTTTTAAAAATCGTTCCTGCCACTCGCTAGAAGTACTCACGTTTGATTCCGTCGCTTCTTGACGCACCGTCCGCGTCGCATATGTTTCTCCAGGAAACGCTTATAAAAGTATGTTTTCTTACAATTCGTGCACTCGTATACGGGACCCTGCGTGCCATGCACACTTTGCATGTGCGCTTTGAGTATCTGTTTCATTTCGAAAATTTGAAAACAGTCCGGACACTGATAGCCCCGTAAACCGGATTGTTCGAGACTGCCACCGTAGCCGGGTGTATTATTGTTGCCACCGGTCGTCACCTCATCGGCTGGTGTGAGCAGTTCGACCTCGGGCATAAGCGGTAGTGGATCCTCTTCATCATCTTCAGCGCCAGCATCAGAGTTCGCACCACAATTATCTGCACCGCCACCCAGACCGTTCTTATGTGAGCCATTAATTTTACTCAACTGTTGTTGCATATATTCATGCATAAGTCTTATAGAGTGGAAATCAAACGGTTGTTTGGCATAGGGAAACTTAATTTCTCCATCATCCTCTTCGATCATTACACCATTCGGATGTCCACTGCCACTGATATGCTGCTGATCGTGTTGCTCTTCGCCATCGCTCCCACCATAACACTCCATGGCGGCCACCTCGGGCACTTGATCAGTAGAGTCGACTTCCGGTTGTGTGGTCGAAGCATTGCTCCCAGCCGACGTTCTGCTCTCGAACTTTTGTATGAGTAATTGTTGGCGAAAGAAGTTATCAGCATCTTCGCACTTCTTCTTGAAGAGACATGCGGATATGGCATTTTTGGCACACGTCACACAAACCTGTTGTGGAAGGGTGTCTCCTTTTTCGATCTGCAATGAAGAGATGGTGAGTCTTAGAACATATTTCAAACAGAATACAACGGAAGATACATGTATACTGAAGTCTTGTATAAAAGATGGTGGCTACAGGGTACAATAAGACTCAATATCACATATTTGTAAAAGAGTTTGATAGTCCAAATACCCAAGATTTAAAATTCTCATTTTGGAACCATTCATTAGGGGTCTCCACATAATATAGGCGAATGGTATTTATTACGTCAACCAATAGTTACCGAATGACCAGCCCTTGGACGGTTAAAACCCGAATCAACTTCGTTGCTTAGAACCGTCTCCCGTAAGACAAATCAGTGAGCTCATGGGCGGAACAGCTACTTACTGATAGGCTCTAAATGCCACTTACAAAGAGTCAATCGAACGTGTGGAAAATGGGTACTCAAACCAGTTAAACCAGCCAACCAAGGGGAGTCATATCCGCCGATATCTCTACTCTCCCAGTAGCGAAGACTCTTGAGACTTAGCTTCTCCCGCCACTTCACACACCATCTGAGTCCATCACCATATTAGCATGGATTCCTTAAAGCAAACAGCACGACAACTGCACTTAACGTCATTAACACCCAGACCGGACCTGCGCCCGAACTGTCTTAGTAGCACTGGATCTGTCAAACACCTTTCCTTTCACTTTTCTTCACTGCAGGGAATTAAGGCAACTACCAGCAAAATCACCGGTTAGACTCTTTACCAGCTGAACGAAGGAGTACAGACTTGACCTAGATGTTAAAGTCGATTGTGTAAAAAATTCCGACTATAAACAACCCAAAATTACAGCATTCCGCATACGACTGCAATTGCCACAAAACTCCAAACCCCATCAACTGGAGAAAAGAAAAAGAAACATTACAGAAAACCTACAAGACAATTTGCCGGCCGGTCGTATACTATGCTGCACCGATCTAGGCACCAACGATACTCACTCGCCCCCAGGACCATGACTAGAAACCTTCTGATGTCGCCGGAGCATTACTTGCACAGCGAAGCATCTCTGCTACGAGTTAAGTAGCATATTGCTTTGTTGTGCAAGTACACATACACTTACTAGAAGCTGAAGCCACTACCCAGGCCCATCAGAGAAGAAGGATAACTAAAGTTTAAACTCCTACTTATCCAGGCTTGACCGCAACATACCTAACGCACATATGTACCGCTTGTATAGAGTCCCAGCACAACGCTAACCACCTCTTTATATGCCCCCTAAAACCAAATTACCTAACCCCCTTCCCATCTGGTCCGAAAGCGCTCGTTAACAGGACCTCCCGTTAGATGACAGCGATAATTTAGACCGCTAAAAAGACAGCAGGCGGGAAACAGTATAAAATTCAGGTCGTTGAAAAAAATCTAAATCTCTCATCTATGTATTGGATGAGTGCATAAGTTCGTGCCCGATTTCAAGTGCAAACTAAAATTGAAATTTTTTGAAGAAAGCGCTTTTATTAATCAATTATGTATTCGCCATCATGTTCGGCAATCCACTCCCAACGTTCAACCAATTTGCGGATGCCTGATTCATAGAAATCGCGCGGTTTCCCGTTGAAAAAGGTGTCAAGGTGGTTTTTGACGTCTTCCACATTTTTAAATTTTTTTCCATTCAAATTGTTCTGCAGCGATCGAAACAAATCAATGCGTTGAACATTGTTGTACAGGATCCATTTTTCATCACCAGTCACGAGCCAAAAAAGGTTCGTTTTTGATCCGTCGAAGCAAAGAAATTGCTGTTGGCATACGTTCCACTTTGTTTTTTTTTTCACTCAACTGATGTGGCACCCATGTATCGAGCTTCAAAGTGTACCCAACCTTTTTTAAACAACTCAAATCAAAATTAAGTTATTTTATGCTTGATTTACAGTTCGGACTGTCACCTTTCCAACGATATATAATATGTATATATTTCTTTCACGAGCGCTACTCTCAAGCGATTCGAACGGCATCCAGCGGAATCGGGCACGAACTTATGCACTCATCCAATACATAGTACATACAATGGGAAGTAAGCAAAGATCTGTAGTGACTTCGCTGGAGTTCTTCGTTCTTTAGTAAGTTTTCTTATTTTCGTGTAATAAAACTGCTAGTTTAGAGCGAAGTGGGTAGTGAGTCAATGTTCTGAGCCATTCCATAAAACAAAGGAATATGAAAATGAGAAATCGTTCGTGTTCCTGAAAGTTACAACCTTACAGTGAACCGATCTTCTATTGGGTCCTTTCTTTCGGGAGTAGGGCGTCGCGAGTTAAGCGCAATCGTAAAACGGCGATAATTTTTCCAAATCCTTAAATGCACCCCCTAACAGATCTGTTTTTGTTTCATACTAATCATTTTGAATTTATTTATTTTTTAATGGGTTGTCCAAATATTTCGACTTTTGCGCCACCTAGCGAGAAATATTCGAATTAAAAAATAATCGGTTCTTCAGATTTCGAGTCAAATGCCAACAAAGGAATCAGCTATAATTTTAATTTATATAAATAAATGTATGTATGTATATCATCTCGCGCGAATGTTTAAATGAAATGATATTTATGTATCATACATTCACACATACATTCCTCATTTCGAATACAATCCATTCTTTTGATGTAGATAGTTTTTGCAAAAACAGAAAAAGCAGCTTATGACATTTTTGAAACAAACCCGTTTATGATTTATACACACGCATTTACTTCACATAATTACGTAATGCCAATTGTGTTATTCATTAAAAAAAAAAAACACAAATACGTACATGAATACACACGTTCAATGGTATGGATAATTAACAGAAAGGAAACGAAAATTTATTCAGTTTAGTGCAAAAAACTAGACAATAAAATATTTTTTAAAGAAAAAATTAACGGGAACGGAAAACGCGAGGTGTGTACATATATACTATATAATTGTGCATATGTATATGTATGTATGAAAATACCAATGTGTGCAGACACACATTCCCATAAAAATGCTTATACAATGTACATGCGCAAAGAAATAATTTTATTTCACTTTATTTGCTTAAAAAATCATATACTAAATAAATAAATTCAACTTCAATCGTCGTCATTGCTGTGCGCATTTCACGCAAACAGTGAAGAGAACTGAGTATAGCTATACTTCTTTATACACCAGGTATATTTTTTCAAGCTCATTTTTATATTTTTTATTTTACTCCATTTTTTCTAGTTTGTCATTTTTTTAATCATGTTAATTTTCTTAATTTAAATAATTTTCATTTTATTGAATTATTTATTTATTTATTTGTTTATTTATTTTATTTATTTATTTATTTTTTTATTTATTTATTTATTTATTTTTTTATTTATTTATTTTATTTATTTTTTTTATTTGTTTATTTTATTTATTTTATTTATTTATTTATTTTATTGAATTATTTTATTTATTTTTTGCTTATTTTATTTTTACTTCTTTTTCTTAGTTTTATTTTATTTTAATTTATTTTCTTCTCTTTCACTTTATTTTTATGCTATTTTGTTTTATGTTATTTTATTATTTTTTAATTTATAATATTTTATTTCGTATTATGCTATTTATTATTTTAATTTAATTATTTTGTAATATTTTTTAAATTTAGTTTTATTTTATTTTATCTTATACTAATTTGTTGTAATACCTTTTACTTAACATTATTTTATTTATCTTATTCTATTCTATTGTTTTGTGTTTTACTTTATTTTATTTTATTTTTTTTCTATTTCTTTTAAATTTATTTTCATGTTATTTTTTATTATATTTTTTTACCTTTTTAATACTTATTCTTCCTTTATTTATTTGATTTATTTTTTTATTTAATTTAATATTATTCTATTTTATTTTATCGTGTCTTAATTTTAACTTTATATCTTAGCTGATCTTATCTTATCCATTTTTCTTTTATTTTCTTTATTTTTTTATTTTATTTTATTTTATTTTATTTTATTTTATTTTATTTTATTTTATTTTATATTATTTTATTTTATTTTATTTTATTTATGTTATTTCATTTTATATTTTTTCATATTATTTTATTTTATTTAATTTTTCTTTTATTCTACTAACTTTATTTCATTTTATTATATTACAATTTATTAGAATATTATTGCTTCATATTTAATTTTTTTTCGAATATTTCTAAATATTTATATATTGGAATTTTTGATTTATACGATTTATATACATATGTATGTGCATACATATATATGTCAGAAGTTTTACTAAAATCAAGCAATTTAAGTGAATTAAAAGATCCACTGTATCTAATATGTACATACATATATATGTATGCATGTTTATATGTATGTACTCATTTCCATATAATCACAAAGCACAATGAGTAAGAAGTTGAATTAAAAGCATATAAAATAATTTCTACGTACAAAAGTGAATGGAAGAAATTTAAGCACACGTAAATATACTACGTACATGTGTATGTATGTATGTGAAATACTTATTAAATTAGACAATTACAATTGTAATTCTATGTATGGATAGTTTGTTTGCTTACAATCTATGTATATACATATATGCGTGTGTGTGTATTTACGTGCTTACAACTTGCGTTCAACGCTGCCGGTGGTGTGGCGAGCGGAAAGGAGAGCGAAATTGATTTTCAAAAAGTTGACTTTTGCTAACTTCAAGTAAAATTATCAAAACGAACTATTTATGTATGTGTATGTATACGTGCTTACAAAGGCAAGTGGTTATTTATACACGTATGTGTGCATATGTACATATGTTAGTAAGTTTATACTAAGTACTCATCGTCGAAGCAAATTTTATTAAAAATGCATTAATTTACATATAAATATATGTACATACATTCATTCACATGCACATTTCAGCACACCTCATTCCATGCGAAATAGTCTCCCAATACTAACACCGCCCGTCCCCTATGCACTCCTTGAAGCACTCGCCATACAAAGTGGCAAAATGAATGGTGTGCGCATTTAGACACATTATGGCACACATTAAACCACGAACAGATGTAGAAGCCTACACACACA